TAATTCTGAGGAACAACAGTCATTGCTCTGGCATGGAAATGGTTTTGGAGCCGCTACTCAGAGAGCGAGTAAGATCTGTTTACGTTCTGCTGCTTCCACATGTTAAAGTGTTACACATAGCTGTATGGGAGCCCTAAACTGGGGCTCTTTGTGTTGGCACAGGGTTTTGGTGTCGCTGAAGGGCGTCACAAAGAGTATTTGAAGAACATGGCGAATGCTGCAGGCCAGTCGTGCCGTGACTACACACCACCGGGAGGAGAGACTTTAGATCAGGTTAGTCCAAACAGCTGGCCTAAAGACCATTACTTGTACAACAGTGCCATGCAGTGGTCATTTTAGGACATTGCAGGTTAAGTAATCCCTTCTGTTTCCAAACTGATCTTTTATAAAGCTTCTTCTTCAGACCAGGGTAATGTAGAAAGACTGTTTTGACATTTTACATTCAGAATTTCCATTTAACTCCCTTTATTTAAGCCTCAGTGTTGTGGGTGTTGGGTCAGAGCCTATACTGGGACTCTTACTGGGGTATAAAAGAGACCAGTGCTAAGCAACATCTGTGGTTTTTCTATTGCTACGTCTTCCTCCACTCAAATTCACACACTACGCTAATTCACTTTTTTGGGTGGTTATTTTACCCCTTTGTTAGTTTAAGTGCTCACAGGATGGGAGGGTAGAGAGTTTAATGAACATCCCTAACTCAACTTAAAATAGTAGACACTTAAATTTTCTCCTACACTTTAAAGGTAAACTTATCAACACACAAATTTATCCTCTAATTTCTCTCAAAGTTGTCCTCTCTTTGGAGGTTTAAATAATTTCTTGATCAATCAGTTGTTATTCATATTAAAATGAATGAAATAAGTGAAATGCTTGTACAGGGTGGGCCATTTATATGTATACACTGTAATAACATGGGAATGGTTGGTGATATTAAAGTCCTGTTTGTGGCACATTAGTATATGTGAGGGGACAAACTCCTCAAGATGGGTGGTGACCATGGTGGCCATTTAGAAGTGGCCATCTTGGATACAACTTTTGTTTTTTCAATAGGAAGAGGGCCATGTGACACATCAAACTTATTGGTAATGTCACAAGAAAAACAATGGTGTGCTTGGTTTCAACTAACTTTATTCTTTCATGAGTTATTTACAAGTTTCTGACCTTATAGTTTCAATGTGCGCCATTGACTGTCTGAAGAGTTGTCAATGCAACCCTCTTCTCCCACTCTTCACACACTGATAGCAACACCGCAGGAGAAATGCCAGCACAGGCATCCAGTATCCGTAGTTTCAGGTGCTGCACATCTCGTATCTTCACACCATAGACAATTGCCTTCAGATGACCCAAAGATAAAAGTCTAAGGGGGTCAGATCGGGAGACCTTGGGGGCCATTCAACTGGCCCACGACGACCAATCCACTTTCCAGGAAACTGTTCATCTAGGAATGCTCGGACCTGGCACCCATAATGTGGTGGTGCACCATCTTGCTGGAAAAACTCAGGGAACGTGCCAGCTTCAGTGCATAAAGAGGGAAACACATCATCATGTAGCAATTTCAAATATCCAGTGGCCTTGAGGTTTCCATTGATGAAGAATGGACCCACTATCGTTGTACCCCATATACCACACCAAACCATCACTTTTGTTGTTCCAACAGTCTTGGAGGGATCCATCCAATGTGGGTTAGTGTCAGACCAATAGCGGTGGTTTTGTTTGTTAACTTCACCATTCACATAAAAGTTTGCCTCATCACTGAACAAAATCTTCTGCGTGAACTGAGGGTCCTGTTCCAATTTTTGTTTTGCCCATTCTGCAAATTCTGCACATCTGTCAATGGCTGTGAACAAAGAGAAACTTGTAAATAACTCATGAAAGAATAAAGTTACGTTGAAACCAAGCACACCATTGTTTTTCTTGTGACATTACCAATAAGTTTGATGTGTCACATGGCCCTCTTCCTATTGAAAAAACAAAAGTTGTATCCAAGATGGCCGACTTCTAAATGGCCACCATGGTCACCACCCATCTTGAGGAGTTTGCCCCCTCACATATACTAATGTGCCACAAACCGGACTCTAAAATCGCCAACCATTCCCATGTTATTACGGTGTATCCATATAAAAGGCCCACCCTGTATTTTCTCTAGCAGTCTAGAGCTTTTCAGGAGCCATTTTCATACATTAACCTAAAATTTATAGAGGACCGAAATGGCAACATCAGTGGTAATAGTAAAGAAATTGAGTTAATGATAACGGAGTTACTATTTTTTTTCTTTTCTATTTATCTACATTTGTCTTAATTTTCTAATTTATTTACTTTTGATTTAATTATTCATCCCCTTCAGTTATTTTTAGCTCATCCAATTGTAGAACTGATGAGCTTATCCCACAACTGTCCTGCTCTCTTACTATAGTATTTGGTCAGATTTTGGTGAAATGAACATGATCACCTAATTGGTCTTCAGCATAACTGTCCTTAAGGTCGAGGTCACATTTGTTGTTTTATGGGCAGTAACCTGTGAATGTGGTGGATGCATTTATTTCTGTTTCTTCATTCTCACTTTTTTTCTATTCTTATGCTTTTCTGCTTCAGCATGAAAATGAGGGAGGCATCATTTAAAGTCTGTAATGACTTCTGTTTGAGCGTGGCTGGGTTTATAGAGAATGGCTGAACAAGAAATAAATATGTTTGAGGGCAGACTAGAAAGGATGAATGAATTAATCCATAAAAAAAATGTGAGTTCATGCTTTATACTGAGTTGAATTTAAGAACTTCCACAGACAAAGTTGGACTTGATTGATTGATAAATCAGTAGATAAATATATTATATTTTCTGCATAAACTCAGTTTGAGTTGGATAAATCAAAGTCTGACTTTTTAAACCAAAGATGAAAAAAGCAAATCTCTCCAGTGGAAATGCTGCAGTGATCTTTTGGTTGAAGGTTGTTTTTTTTTCTTTTTGTTTGTTTTTTTTAAATCTAGTATTCACAGCAGCTCTGATGTTTTAATATACAGTAGGTACGAGGACTGAAAATTACATGGAAAAATGAATGGCTCTCTGAGCTTCCCTGTCATGTTGCTTTCAGGTGAAGCTGCGATTCAAAAGATTCCTCAAAGCTCTTTTCAAGCAAATGCTGGATGAGCACCTCTCATCAGGACCGGCTGCCTCTTCAGGAGCTTCAGCATCTGGAGATGTCGCCCAGGGGACCGCGGCCGTTGCCTCCAACACCCCTTCCCGCCGCTCAGCTGATGAAGGCCTTCAGGGCGTGCTTGTCCACACTCTGGTGGTGAGCCACGGCGCTTACATTCGTGTGGCCATCTGGCACCTTGTGGAGGACTTAAATTGCGCTCTACCTGCAGGGGCGAAAATGCAGCAAGTGTTTTCACCCTGTCCGAACACGGGCATCAGCCGCTTCATTCTCACTCTGAGTGAGTCTGAGTCTGGGCCGGTCCTCTCCGCTGCTCGCTGTGTTTTTACCAACAGGAAGGACCACCTGGAGAACCTCGCAGATGGTGAATAGCACAAAAGAAAATAAAGAGGTAGATGTTCTCTGCTTGTGTGTGTGTATATGTACACACTATCTGATGGATGATGGAACTATTATAAGCACTAATCTAGCACAGGTAACTGAAGGCTACGTTGCACAGGGTAATTCATGTTTTCTCAGTCGCTGTGTTTCACTGTGGATCAACACTCAGATTCGGTGTACAGTTCTGTTTCATCATGAAACCATGTCTGTCCAGCTGTAGGCCAGTAAGGTGACCTTTCATATTTAAATTGTTTAAAAACTGATCATTAAATTGCCTCTTTTATTGTGTTACACCAAAGTTTGAAGTATTTAATGTATTGTGGCATTTCCTGTGTGGCAGTTGTGCTGCTGCTCATTTTATTGTGTGCAATATTTCGTGAGAGCACTGATACTTTGAGTTTGTGTTTAACATTTCATACAATCACAAGTAATGAGGGAAAAAACAAGTTGCACAAATCACAGAATGCTGTGAAATTACTTGCAAGACATTTGTGGATGTATTGTCTTTTTTTCTGGGTGCTACATATTCATAAGATCTTTTTATGTTGTCTGACATCATTTTATCTCCAATAAATGGCTGATGCAGCTCATGATGACCTCAATCAATAAACCATGGTCTGATTTATTCCCAATAGCTGTGTATAACTGAAAACCTGATGAAAACCAATTTAACACAAAGGCATGTGTTATGAATAGAGCAGAAGAGCATCTCTTAATGGGCTACAGCAGTAGAAGACCACACTCCAGTTCAGAACAGGATACTGAGGCTACAATTTTCACAGTTCACCAAAATGAGACCAGAGAAGATTGGAGTCATCTGGTCTGATGAGTCCATTTCTGCTGCCACATTCAGATGGTGGGATCAGAATTTGATGAGAACGGCATGAAAGCATTGATCCATCTTGGCTTCTATCAACATTCAGGCTGGTGTAGGGTTAATAGTCACCCTACATGAGTAATTTTGTTGATCATCCATTTATGAACACGGCATCTACTGATGGCTGCTTCCAGCAGGAAAACAAAGCATGTTTAGAGATATCATTCAATCTAATGCTAATGCTAAAAGTTAGTGCACTGGATTTTATAATGTTAGAATAATGAATAGGGGGAGTGTTATGTTTTTGGGAAACTTGTCGTATTTGAGGGCAGACACAAACGGCTGCTGTTGTTGTTTGCATTGAAGGATTTGTTGGAATTACTGGTGCTACATCCTCTGCTACGGTTACGGTGCTAAGTCAGCATTTTCAATTTCTTTTGAATCCATGTTGGACGTCTTTAAGTGCTGATGGGAGATCAGTTTTGCTGCTTCCACCTATTTTTAATATCCTGTTGTGAGTCTCTCGGTAGGTCAAAGTAACAGATATCCTTAAAAAAAAAACCCAACTTGCAAACTCTGACAGGGCATCATGGATACCACTCTCATGTAGTTTCAGTTTATTCACAAATATATTAAAATACAACTTCCAGCATAATGATATATAAAATAGGTATTTGTGAAATGGAACTCGCCCAAAACTGTTTACGGCTTTTAAAAAGAAGTCCAAATGTCACATTATACACACCAAATACAACATGGAAATTCTTAACATACGTGATCATACTAACCTAAATCACTACAGGGATCCTAACATATAAATTACATCCAATACATCTACAGTATGAACCTCATATAGAGAGCTATTACAGTTTTTAAAAGCTCATTGCCACTCAGCATTCAAAATCAAGCATAATTTAGAAGCCTGAAAAGAAGATCTATAATCTCTCAAGATATGTGGGATAAGCATTGCACCATCTAACATTGCTTTACCTTAAGTGAGGTACAAACAAAGACTGGTCGATCGTCAGTAGTGCTTCACATGAAAGAAAATGGCTAGTTTTATAAATAAGCTAACATATTTGGATAATTTCTTCTTGATTAGATCATCAGTCTTACATATTACATTTGCAGCTTTGTTTCAAAGATTATAAAAGAGTTAAACTTTTGTTTGCTGTTATCTAAAGTAACTGAACTTAATCAACACATATGGTATGAAAAATACCTTTAAAGTAAAACATTAACAGATTTACCAAAAACAGAGCGCACAAAAACAACTCACAAACACAGAACGTATTTTCTTTTATTACTTTATTTTGTCCCAAATTCAAGCAACACTCCATCCAAGACCCCAGCTCATACATTCAAAGACAAACCAAGTTTCCCTTTATGTACATTTGAACTGTCTCACAAATAAATAAAACGAAGGAATGGATTTAAATAAATAAATACTCTTTGGGACTGTTTTTTGTGTTTGCTGGTGGCGCCCAGCACCTGTAAAAGTCACATAACTGGAGTTAGGAGTTGACATCTGTAAAGGTTATTTACCCTGTACATATATTCCTTCAAGTCATGTATTAAAGACTGGTGGAGGATACACAAATGAGTGATGGCAGTGAAAAGTTGTGGGGTTTCCCTGTTTAATTCCAATTTAAGAAGTTAAAAACCACACAGGACTTTCAAATATTTAATCTTAACCTACCAAATAAAAACTTTATAGTATGTTCGTCATATATATATCGCTTTCTTTTTGTTTTAAACCATTAAATGGTGCCTTCAGTATTCTAGATGCAGGCTAAGTTGAGCTTCTATCATGGGAAAAAACATCAGTGTCACTTTTGAAATGTGGGTTTCTCAGATCAGCTGTAAAAACCTCATTGAGAAGAAACCACAAAATCAAAGATTGCGCACACATGTACACTGATTTGGGGGTAATTAATTTGAAGGGCTCTGGTGATTTTGTGAGAGAAACCAAATAATATTCCGAAAGAAATCCTGATCAATGCTCAGCGTGAGAGCATGCCAGCTGGAACATCTGGACACCTAAGATATTATTTTAAAAGTGAATACAGGTTAAAACACACGTCCCTCGACTTAAAATCTATATTTACAACTGCGTGAAAACTAAATTAAAAGGAAAGAGAAGGCTGCAGGCGCAGGTGAATTTAAAGACAATATAAATTGTGCAAAAAGAGTTGCAAGTCAAGTTTGTACATTCAGTGTATAAACACACTGCATTGCTGAATGATTCGTGACTAAAAAAGTTTTTAAGTCAGTGTGAAAAAGAGGGAACGACCTTATTGTTCTGCTTTCATTTTTCCATGAAGTCTCATGTTAATATTTTTTCTCTTGTATGATCTAAACTAAAATGTTAAACTATAGACTCACGTAGACTACTGAAGGCTACCGTGGTCTTTCTCAGCCAACTGTCCCGGCGCTCCGGGGGCTGGCCGGGTTGGAGAAGTGCACGTTCCAGGGGTCTTGGCTGGATGGAGCCGCGAGTTTCTCCCGGGACACGTTGCGTCCGTCATCCCCGACCTCTGTTTCTATTTCCGTCTCCATTTCCACCTCCCTTTCCTCCAGCTCCTCGGGCACGGCCTGGGAATCCGAACCCTCTTCTGTCTGCCCTCGGTTTCTCTTCTCCCTGTGCAGCAGGAGGCGCTCCAGTGGTACGGTGTTTTTCCTGGGCAAGAAGAGGGAGGTCTGCGGCAGGTTCTGACCCGCCGAGTACACCTGTCGGGAGCCCTCCAGGTTGAACAAGATGCCGGTCCGGCTGGAGTAGTACACGTCCCGGTTGTTCTCCAGGAGCTTGTGGTTGAACAGACAGTCATCCCGAAGGCAGACAGGCTGGAAAAGAGAGAGGTGAGAGGGGCAAAATGAAACAAACGGAAATAACCAACCAAATCTTTCTTTGATGCATGCCATGAAATAAATATTTGTTTGTTTTTAAAAAACTGTTTAAATTAAAAATAAATAAATAAATAAATAAATAAATAAATAAATAAATAAATAAAAATCCACGTTTAGAAATAAATCGGATCGCATGGAAAACAAAAGTGTTTTGCGGGATTATTAAATATAAAATACACGAAAAACAAACCACACACACAAAAAAACCTCTCACATTAATTACTTCATAGCTCAGAGAAATACAAATAACTCGCTGTTTAGTCAAAGAAACGGTGAAAAACAAATATGGACTATTGTTTGCATTATTTTGTGCAGAAAAACGTCATAAAAACCATAAATGTAATAAAAGTAACTGAAGGTTTGAGGTCTGAGTTTATTGACAGTGACCTTTATCGATAAATGAATATTTATTTTAGACACACTGTGCGTAAAAACTAAGTAGCACAAGGTTCCGACGAAATGCGTGGGGTCGATTAAATCACAAATAAACACTGAGTGAATTCAAATTAATTATTTGCTTACAGAGCTGAACGGATTGCCCTCCAGGTCCATGCACAGGTAACGGCTGCTTTTGACGCCGAGGATGGCGATACGATCTCTTGCTTCAGATTTCAGTAGAATCACACCTGCAGGAGGAGAAAGGAATATTAATCATACAAGAATACAGACTTTCATTATACTACAGCATAAATATTAGAGTTATCTTACTATAGGTGCTCCTGGACGTAGTTTTGCGCACACTCCCATCTAATCTGATCTCCAAGTAGAAGTTATTGAGGTCTGTGGATGTCTGCAGGTGGACGTATCTCCTTGGGTTCCCCCAGGTGGATCCAACCAGAGGTGATGGGTTCGGGACCGTATCCCCGAGAGGAAATCCCTGCAAGACAGCGAGAAAGAGCGCCAGCACGGTGTCTCTCATCCCCATTCGCCTGTTGACCTCCATTCTGGTTCAAACTTCGAGCTCCTGGAAGTTTTCAGATGCTCTGTTGTCGCAAAGTTTGGAGACAGTTCCTATTTAAAGCCCCCCGAGCGCCACTCCTGCTCACATCCTTTGGGTAAAAAAAAGGAAAAAAAAAAGAAAAAAGAAACTCGCCCCCAAAGCAGATGTGCGGGTTTGCTGCAGCGGAAGGGCCACTTCCACCTCTGTCTGTTTACACCGATGCTGCTGGTCAAACAACAGAACTCTTATTTTTGGTTAGTCTTGACTCATCCACCTTAAATTAGACCTGTTACCAAATAATTCCTGCTTTAGTTTGGTGTAAAACGATGTACAGGGAAAACAAAAACCCGGAACTTACATTTTATTTTTAATCAAACCAGACACGGGTCATAGTATAATTTAACTGATTATAATTAAGACGTACATTTTAAATTAAATAACTTATTATATATATTTAACAGAACCGGTTAACCACGGTGGACTAGACTTGTGTGCTGGTTCAGTTTGCCTTTGCGCACCTGCAGAGCTCAACAGTCCCTGTGTTTGACCAGCAGAGGGAGACACTTCCTTATATAGAGCAGAGAAACGAAAGTCTGATAGCAAAACTGTGACAGAATAGTTTCCCCAGAACATCACTCTAAAGTAAACTCACGCTTCAGTTTTGTGAAAATCAGGACCATTAAGTGCAGCCAAATAGTTAAAAAAAATTAACAGAAATGTTAAATACCAGTGGTGGAAAGTAAGCTTATTCATTCTGTACAGCCAACAAGCCTTTAGATTTAGCATGTGGCCTTCAGAGGAGGCCTGACTCCTACACTTGGACCTGCTGTATGAATTACTACACTCTAAGACGGATGTTTGTCTGGGGTTGAAAAGTGTATTAAAGTTGAATTGCCTCAATTGTGCACTGTTTCCAATGGCCAGCAGGGGGCGACTCTTTAGACTGCAAAAAGGTGTGGAAGTCATCTAGAAAATACTGCTCACTTGCAGGGAAGAGGATTAGCGCATTTTTATAGTAGTATTTTTAATGAACTTTTTGTGATTATTATAGAAAAGTAAGAATTCTGGAAGAAATTTTTACAGCTAATTCTGGCAACAATAACATCTGAATTCTGATTAAATCAGAATACTGAGGAAAAAGGTCTATGCGAAAATATTGTTTCCCTCACAACCAACAGGCATGCTATATATATATTTCACTTCTGTTCACTCCACTTTCAAGTTTTGTTTTGCTGAATTCACTATGATTTTTTTATGGTTCAACTTAGAGTAACAAAGGAGGATTAGGGAGAGTTTGCTCTGTGAAAAGTGAGCAGTGACAGTTGATTTTCTTAGTCAGATTCACCTCCAGTTTGTCAGGTAAAAGAGTTTAAAGAGATAAAGAGTTTAACCAGTGCTACACAAAGAATCACACCTTTTCAAGCTGTTTAAAAAAACCCAAAACAAACTTTTATTGGTATCTCAGGAATACAGTAGACTGCTGTGCACAGCACATACGTACAAAAATAAAAGGAAAAAACTTTAATATCCTTACTTAGCATCGTCTGTTTTCAGAAACAAATAACTGAAGTTTGTTTCTTTTCATTTACAGTCATCAGCAAACCAAAACTAAGGCAGAAGGTGAGGTATATGAGAACAGAGGAGAGGAATAGAGAAGGATTTAAAAACAAAACAAAAAAACAGAGAAAAAGCACACACCCTTAATCAGATTCAGAGCTCAGGCATGCTAAAGTATGTTAATCATTATTTTTTAAAAAGAAATTCCTCACCTTGACTTAATTAAATTTGACCTATGATAAGAAAATGGAAGAAAAGAAAACAGATAAATCTGGATACATTTCTTTCTTTCTTTTTTTTGGTCAAAGCTGATAGGTGAGCGTTTTGCTTTAGACACAAACTTTCCCTCTTTTAGAGATTGTTTTTCATGACCAATATTGTTTGAAAAGTCGCTTCCTTACACTTGTTTCTAATCAAGATGTCCTTGATAAGGGGCTGCCAGAGACTTTGGACATCTTGATTAGGGTGCTGGCTGAGAGAAGTGCTCTTTGCTTTCATGTCTTGCTCAGCTGAAAATACAGATTCACAACGGTTTACTCCCGAGGAGATCAGTGATATGACACGCAGCCTCATCAATGACAACAAAGAGCCTTTTTTTTCCTTTGTTTGTTTTGCTGACATTTTGAGCTACATTTGCTTTGCTGTATATAGCCTTGGCATTTGCAAAAAATGCCCTCAGAGCAGAAACAAGCCATTTAAGATTGGAGAAGAACACTGTTATGATTAAATGAGCAGCGTGGCATGTTCAAATTTTGGGGTGCAGATGGAGCTCAGCAGCAGCAGCAGCAACAGCAGCAGAGGGCACGCCCTGAGGATGGCTGGGGAGCTGTCCTAAAGGACTGGAGTGCAGCAGGAGAGGTGAGGTGAGGCTTTGCGTGACTCTGCTCCCCACATACTGCATTAACTCTGCAGATGTCCCCTCCACAGAAATATCCCTACATGACTATTTAGAAAGGGGAGTTGACAGCAAGTTGCAGGGCTGTATTTTAAAGAGGTGGTGCTCTAGTTTCATAGGATGTAGTGCTGTTTCAGAAAATACTGCAGGTAAAAGGAACTATTAGAAATATGTTTTTGAGGCCTTAAGACAGTCCGACCCATATAGAAGACCACCCTGGTCATTGGGGTCGGGGTCCGTAACTCTGACCTTGAACTAAAAAAGGCTGAAAGGAGAGGAGGAAGCTCCTGGGTTACAGCTGGAATCCCAAGGTCTCTTGCTATAGCAAGTAAGCTGTGGGGTGAGGGACAGGCAGAGGTGGGAGGGTGGGATAGAGCTCAGGTATGTGGAAAGCTGCCTGTCATCCTGGCAGATCTGCATTCCTGCAGCAGGTTTGAAGAACAACAAAGACAGCAGGCCAGCTCTGTCACATACGTCTTTCCTGGATTTAAATAGTCCTGTTTCCTCTGTCACAGGCACAGACAGAGGCAGACGATCAAGCGTTCGTCAGTTCTGTTTTGTTTGTTTTTTTGTTTTTTTTTTAAAAGTAAACAGCTGCAGAAAGTACAGGGGTGAATGTACTTGGGAAGACTCTCAGGAATTCTCAGAATGAGGCAAGAGAAACATCTTTGGAATATATAACAAGATATTTGTGCACACTAACAGCGGGTCTGCAAAGCTTAATACACCTCTAATAAACTTTTCTTATTAAATAATCAGTTTTTGACTAGCTCAGCCATTCAGCTATAGCAAACTAAGATCAAAATCAACAGAAATACAGATGCAGAGTTAAGAAATCTAAGAATGTGGATCCAGTCCTCGAGCTGAACCGCGCTTTAGTCCTTAAAGTCATCTATAATTGCATTTCAAAACATTTACCTCCAACACCTCACTGCCACTGCAGTGCTGCTGCTGCAGAAAGCAGATTCAAGCAGGGGAATTGCCCCAGGGCATGCACATCCTCTACCAAACTTACTGATGTGAGGGAAAAAAAACAAATGTGGAAGCAAAGAGAACATTGAGGCACCATCATCGATGGTCGACTGTGCAGCCTGAACTCTTAACGCCTCATCCAGGCAACTGTAACAAAGCAGCATTGTATGGTTTTTTTTTGTTTTTAAAAAAAGAAGAAAGAAAAAAAAGCTCCTGAATTCTTCTTCTTTTACATTTGCCAACTATTTACAAAGTTTTTTTTCATTGGTTTCATAGACAGTAGACATCATTTTCAATAGCAGCTATATCTTTGCCATTCAGAAAAAAAAAAGAAAATAAATAAATAAAAACCGCATCCCAGTTTACTGTGGGAGCTCTGTCCAAGACTATGTGCTGTAACATTTCTACCGTGCGCTCTATCTGCTCAAATAAAAATTTTCTCCATGCTGGGATAAATACATATTCCACCCTGTTTATATTTCGGCAATCCCACAAAGTCAAGCTCGTGGCCTTGTGCCAGTCTACATGGCTGACGGCTCTCTGGTCTCAACCACAGATTGTTTATTACTTAATCAATCTAATTACAGAAAATAAAATAAACCAGAGATAGTCAACCCCCTCCCCCTTCTGAGGCCCTGTTCGGTGTGTCAGCCCTATTTCTGACTCCAGCGGGTGTCTCTTACATGCAACTTTAAGGGGGCCACAAGTGGGAACACCAAGGCACCTTTAAATCGTGCAGCAAAGGTAGTGAATTTAGCCACTGCCAGCTATCGATAATCAAGCGCTTAAAGGTTTGCGGAAAAAATAAATAACAAACTTAGCAGATATTTGAGCAGAACTCCATGCATCCCTTAATCGAGTAAAGTGGTTCTTTGAGGTAACAAAAAGTATTCATTTCACTCTCCAAAAGCACAGAATACAGCTCATCCTCCATCTCAACAAAAAACAAAAGGAAGTGACATTTAGTTTAGTTGCAGCAAGCACCAAGGTAAAGTGGGACAGGCAAAGTCTTCAACTTTCCCCTGTCCATAAAAACAATAAGCAGCACAGTATGGCATACATATACAAAGATAACTATCCAAATATACATATATATATATATCTATATATATATATCTATATATCAGAATAAATATTTGTCTTTTCTTTTGCAGTCCATGGGTGTGTATATCATTACTATGCATTTCTATATTACCTGGAGGAACATCCACATGTGCAAATTGTTAAGTTATTGCCAGTTTCTCTCATAGTCGTGGGAGGAAATGTGTGACAGTCATGGCGGTGGTGGCCTTGTTGCCTCTCTTTACACGGCCATGCTTGCTGAGGGCGATGTAGAAGCCCTTGTAAACAAAAGACTCATAGGCGTTGTAGTTGTTGGGCAGCAAAGTCTCCTTGAACTTGCACTCGTCCTTGAAGACTCTCTAGAAAAAGAGAGAAGGACAGAGGGGTGGGGGCAGGGAGGGGGTGAGGGGTGTCAGTAAATCTCATGACAGACGCAGTACGAACATCACAACATATGCATGGTTTCCACATGACCTCTGCTTTGGAAAACAGCCTGCCTTAGACAGCATGCTTTGAGGGAAACAGGAGGAGCAGGCATGCTGTTGCAAAAGAAATGCCCTTTTCAAATGCAGACACCGGCCTCCTGCTTTTACTGCTAAACTCATAAAAAAAGTCTCCCGACTGGGTTCACATCCTAACACTAATCAAAAGGAGAAGTGAACGAGCTGGAATCAAAGGCTGAATAACACAGGAACACATTACAGTGTTTACTAGGACACATTGTATTAGCATAAAAAAAACCCTCTTTTGCTACAAGTGCAGATCTGTTGTACATATATATGTGTAGAAAACTCTGTTACATGTAGATATCCTGCTTGGTTAAAGAATTAACATTAAAGCACAGTCAAAGTACGGCAAGTAGAAGCAGTGGTGCTAATTCTGACTTTAATATTGTAATTTTCATCAACTAGTAGTTAGAAGCTGTCATACCATGGAGCAAAAAAGGCTAATACAATATTTTTACTGGCTTTGGCAATTACAGACATATTTTTATATATTATTAATTTCTTTTAAATTAACAAAAGAAACCAAACTTGTCAAAAACCTTGAATACGGACTTAACAATCTAAGCAGGGCAAAATTATGACCACAAGTGATAAGTTTGATTTTCATATTCAGCCCAAAGCCCAACACAGCAAACTGCAAATTAAAAATCTAACTATCATTTCCATTTTCACTGTGAGATACACGCCAGTCTGAGCTTGCAGAGTCATTGCAGATACACACTATTAGGCATCAGCACTAAGTTGTAAGGTTGGATGGGACTCAGATTTATAAAATGTCCATGTTTCAAGGATTTTTATGAGACATAAACAGCTCAGAACAATATTGTAGAATCAAATTTTAGTGTAAGAAGAGAGACCTGCTGTGATATTTGACATCAACTGTAGCTAAAAATACAGAAATTACACACACACACACACACACACACACACACACACACACACACACACACACACACACACACACACAGATAAAAGGCATCTAATGCCTTAGATGCCTTTTATTTGGCATCTAAGGCATTAAACAGCATGTCATAACTGACCTACTTTTACAGACTGGCTATAATTTCCCTGTCATGATTTCACTGAAGATCGTTTGATTGTGCATAGCAGCTTTAGGAAAAATGAGAAAGAGACTCTTTTACACGAGGAATGTAACTAAGTACATTTACTCAAGTATGGCACTGGGGTACTGGGGCACTTTAAATGGAAATAATGCACCTTTAGCTCTAGCTGCTTTGCAGGTTAAGCTGAAATATTATCACTGAGTGGGCCGTTCTGCTGCACAGCAACTTCATAAATCACTGTTTCCGATAACAGTTACTTTTGCTGAAATACAACTGTGAGTGTGGCATTTTTACTTGTAATGGAGTACTCTACGTGGGACCACTGCTTCTTTTACTTGAGAACAGGATACTTAAACCACTGACAGATTCTGACACAGCAAAAGATTTGAACATTGAAGCTTTCTTGGACCCTGCTGGGAAGCCCCCCTATCATCGCGGCATATTAATAACACAACAGCGCTCATAAAGTCGTGGATGCAGCAGCTATATGAACTCGTCTTACACTGAACAGGATATGTGTGTATGTGTGTGTGACAAGGAGAGAGAGAGAGAGAAAAAAGGGGGTGGGGGAGCCTCTGAAGTTGCGCACAAACGTACCGTTCCGTATAACCTTCCCCTGCTGTTCATTGCGACAAACAGCCCACTCCTCACTCCGAACAGGCTGATCACTCCTCGGTCCACGGTGGAGATCTCTATCAGACCTGAACGAAACATACTGTTAGGGAAGCAAAGACACAAGTCACACTGCGACTGGGGGTAAAGTCGAGTAACTGGCCTATGCAGCAGGGATGGGTGTAACCTTGCAGGTGCATTGCGACTGGATGATGCTCTCCCTGCTCAATTAGCCCCTTTGCAGTTATCAGCTATTTGCATGTTCGATGCGAGTGTAGTCGAGAGCGTGCTGAGAGGGACGGGAGGGTGCCCTGCTGTAGGGGACGGAGGGTAAAAATAAGTTAGCGTCTAAACTGGCTCAAGCATTCATGTCATGTTTCTGGTTTGGGAGGATATTTCGCACTGCACGGATGCAAAGCTCAGTACACTGGTTTTGCTTTCGGGAACTTTCAACCATGCCGACACCTCTTATTAAACATCATGCAAGATAAGTGAGCGGTTCTAACTTTTGCACAGCCCTGCGCATAGGGTTACACTCTTTTTCTGGGTCCAGTGCTTTGCCGGATGCAACTCACTGTATTGGTTCTCATTGTGTTCACCGCTTATCCTGCCATCCGGGAGCACCTGCAGGTGAAACCCAATGCCCACGTTGCAGTACAGTCGTCGCACTCTTTTGATGCCCTGCAAATAGTCACTCTCCCAGTTCAGCTCCGATTTCCCCCCAGTTATACCCAAGTAGGAGCGGGAGAAGAGGGTCTCCCACTTCTTTTCCAGTAAAGTCGCATTAGTCCTGCTCGGAATCGGATAAGATGAAACGATTCCCCAGAGAGAAGTCCACAGTACAATAACTGCCAGTAGCGTCCAGTGCGTCCGGGCCCCGCTGGACATACTGTAGTGGCACCTTTGCGCAATGGCCATCCAGTTTACCTTTGGGGCACGTGGTCAAAGTTACCTGCCCTAAAAATGCAACTCTTCTTGATTTCTGTCCTTTGGCATGGTGGTGGTAAAGGTTTATTTTGGGATCAAGATAGATCAAGGCCCCATAGCCCGAGATCTGAGCAGGAGGATTGGGACAGAGCGCGTCGGAGCTTGAATTGGTGCCGGTGGCGATGATCATCTTTGGCCGCTCCGCGCCTCTGATCAGGCAACGCTGGCCGTGGAGGGGGACACCACTCACCGCAAAACCAGCTCACCTTGCCCCCGACTCTCACATCCTAAAATGACATCACTGTGACTTCACCGCTGCACCCCCCATCAAAAAGTAGGAGATGGGAGGAGGAGGAGAAGAGTTACAGGACCCTGGCAGGAGCGGCAGCTCTGATAGGAGTAATGGGGGGTGCTGCACCTTCAAATCAGCGTCAAATAAGCGAGACAGATTGAGAAGAAGAGCATCCTGTGGTGCATTTCAAAATAATAATTAAAAAAAACTTCCCTGCATCAGCTTCTCTCCCTGGTTAAAAAAAAAAAAAGCTGCTATATGCTGTGGCCTTTACAAAAACGCAGTCTAGCTGAATACACAGGATATTTTTTATTACTGAAGTCAAACTTTGAGAAGCTAAAATTATTTCTAATTATCACTAAAATAAGTTTTATAATGCATCGCAGCGAAAACACAAGGTCACAAAAACAGGGGTGGATTCGCCATGTTTGTCATCATCTCGTCTTTATTGTGTTTAAGGTGACAGACGCTTGATAAAAGGCAGTTACAGCAAAAAACAAACAAACCCCACAATCAATGCATTAATCTTGAGTTCATGCATTTAGGCATTATGAATGAAAATGACATTTTTCCTCTTGGTGTTTTTCTTTAAATTGTCACCCGTAAAAAATGGAGTTGAAAGAAATATGTGAACAGAGGTACTCAGGTTTACTTCTGTTTTTGGATGACTTTGGATATGATTTCAAACACAGAATTATACTTAAAAGTTCAGTGATTGAGTTTCACCAGAAAATGGTAAATAAATAAATAAACATTTCCTAGAACTTATTTTGGTCGTTTATTGTGGTACAAACAACATGCAGTGGGATGTTCATACATTCTTTTCTTATTTTATTATGTCACATAATTTGTGTACATGAAATACTTATAATGACATTCTCAGTAAATACAAGTGAAAATGCTTTGACATTAAAAAACAAAACAAAAACATGCTTTAACTGCAGCAAGCACAAATACTTATGATAGTGTAAATGTTATTAGCAGTTATTCTGTGTTTAGATTTTTTGCTTGATGTGGATCTTTAATGTAGTTTACTGTTTGTGTGGCCCTTTACTGTGCAATGCAAGGGTTATGGGCATTGTTGCAATAGTAATGCTGAGTGATTCTGGCTATTGTATTGAAGACATACTTTTATAGTAATAAACTACTTATAGTACTTAAAGTAGGAATACTAAAATTGAAGAACAATGGCAACCAAACAGCTGACAGTATTATACTTTACTGTACACTGTAAAATAACAATTTAATAGTTGTAAATCTAGATGACAGTGCTTACTGTAC